CCCCAAAACCCCAAAACCCCAAAACCCCATCTTGCCAATATTTATTATCTTGTTATTATAGTTTAAAACATAATTATGATAAATTTAGCTTCAAATTTAAAGATTTTCAATAATGGGATAATTTTATCCTAATACTTATTAAATATTAAAGGTGAAACATTAATTTATCTAAAGATATTTTTACATGGATCATACAGACAGTCAAAAGCCAGAGTTTGAAAAAATCTAAGGTTTTGCTACCAAAGTTATCATTGATTGCGACCCAGGTGGAGATGATGCACATGCTATTCTCCTTGCATAATATTTATCAAAAGCTTTCAATGTACAAATACTCGGATTGACAACAGGAGGAGGAAATCAGACTGTAGACATGGTGACAAAAAACTCATAAATTATAATTGATATCCATGGTGAAACTGGGTTTTTAGTTCATAAGGGAACTCAGAGAGATGATATTTTGCACATATAAGATGGATTTTTCGGTAAAGATTCATTTGGTGGTTATCAAAGCAAGTATCAAGAAATCAATGGTGAGATAGGCGATAAGCATTTATCTAAGCAAACAGCCATTGAATTCCTCCTTGAATAAGTTAATCAATATCCAAATGAAATCACCCTTATTTGTATGGGTTGTTTCACCAACATCCAAAATGCTCTTAAATAGCTGCCAGATTTTCTTGAAAAACTTAAGAACATTGTAGTAATGGGAGGAACTCATTCTGGTGTAGGAAATGCACCAAATTGGGTATCTGAGTATAATTTTCATGGGGATCCAAATGCTGCTAAACAAATCTTTGAAAAAGCAAAAAATATCACAATGATTTCTTTCGATCTATGTTATGATTATTACAATAACATGAGCGAGCAAGATTAAGCTACTATTTTCGGTTAGAATACTAAATTGGCAAACTTTATTAGATAGTCTAACAGCTAAGCTTATATAAAAGGCAAAAGATATTCGATATGTGATCAGGTTGCTGTTGCGGTAGCATTAGATCCAAGAATTGTTCTTGACTATGAGCAAAAGTAATGCAAAATATTTGATGATAAAGATGAATCTACAAGAGGAATGGTTGCGATAAATTGGATTGAATTCTACAACATAAAGGATCAACCAAAAGTCAACATCGTAACTAAAATAGACTAGAAATTATTGAGTATGTACCTTAGGGACTGCTTGAAAGATGGTTTAGATGTCTTTTCAAATTTCTAGCATGAGCGTCAAGAAAATTAGAAAGCTTTAAGTGCATATCTAGAGGCTTTAGGAATTCCTGACTACCTAGAGATCGATCCATCTTTAGGCTCTCTCTTAATGATCCAGATGAAACATCTAGAAAGATTTCCTCTTTGCGATCTTATTACTCATCAAAATCTAGATTATGATTTCTACTCATTAGTAAGGAGTTTAATTGAAAACAAAGATAAGTTTAACATTGGATCAATCTTTGAGCATACAGTACTTCTTTACTATGTTTTAAAGCAACTAAACTTTGAAGTTGAGATTATTAAATCAACAAATTTGAATCAATAATCAGAAATCTAAGATAAACAATCTTAAAATACCTTGGAAGAAAGAAAATCAGACTAAGAAGAGAAAATTAATCAATTGGTTCTCATTGTCAAATTCTAAGGACA